GTGGTTTCATGCTCTAGGCTTCTGTGAAGTGAATAGGAAGAACTAGATGAATTTGTAATAATACCTGTCGAACTCTTTTTTTTTAAAGTTCAATTTTTCACCCAGGCTAGTGTGGCTCAGTGGATTGAGTGCTGGCCTGCGATTCAAAGGGTTGCTGATTCGATTCCCAGTCAGGGCACATGCCTGGATGGTGGGCCAAGTCCCCATAGGGGGCGCGTGAGAGGCAACCGCACATTGACATTTCTCTCTTCCTCCCTCCCTTCCCCTCTGTCTAAAAATAAATACAATCTTTTTTTAAAAGAAGTTCAATATGTCTATGTTGCTTCTATATCAATTACATTTTTCTACTTCTTGATATAGAGCTGTTGAATAATTTCTCAGCATAGCTATCAAATATTATGATATAGTGTTTCAGACTCACTAAGGTTTGCCCAGTGTGTCATTATCAGATTAAGGAATTAATTTCTGTTTTTATGTCTTAAGTTGCCAAAGGAGAAATGCAAAGAAAAGTAATTTATTTCAGCAAATACTTACTGTAGTCTATTATTATGTGCAGAGTATTAGAACAGGCAGGAGATTCATTAGTAAATAAGATGGTCTTTATAGAATTTACAATCCAATAGTGAGGATAGGGATAGAGAAGCATTTTGTACTGGAAGCTAAACTGAAAAAATATATATAGAGAATTAAGTTTTAGCTCTGAGTGGAACTTTATTAATCATTATATACAGTTAAGTATAAAATGGCTTGCCCATTATAGTATTTATGACACACATCTCTTTCACGTTTAAACTAGTTCTCTGTCCTTTATGTTTTGTTGCTTGAATGGTAATAGTATGGTCCATTCATGTTTGCCCAGAGGCATAGGTGATCTAGAAATTGGACAATGCACATTTAAAAACTTAAGTTTGTCTTTTGCATGCTCCCTCTTGAAAATAATAGCCCTCCATGGTTATATAATTCTCCTTGTAATCATTTCCTCCAGGATCCGTCTTGCTCCAACAAGTTTCTCATCATCTTTGCTCAGCCTCAGCAGCTTAGCTTACTAAGGTAGAATGGAGATGTGGAAAGATGAAACTTATGATAGAAGGGGGTGACCTTGAACCAGTATCCGGAAACACAGTATTGGTTGGAATTAAATCACAGGCATGCTTTCTGTCTTCCATAGATAGTTAGAAAAATATTTTCTGGGAAGCTCCTGAGTTATCCTTTTTACTAAAATAGATAATCTTAGCCAAGAATTTCTGAGTGAAAGAGCTACTCTCAGTAATTCATAGCTGCTCTTTTATTGTTTTAAAATCTTGTCAGTCCATGCAGCATTTCTTGTTTGCCTAGATCACTGTCCACTCATAAATGAAGGCTCTCTAAGCTTTAAGTGCGATTGTTTGAAGTAATTCTCTTTATGTCTTTGGAAGTTGGTTACTTTTGATGCAGCCCATTAGTTTAATGAATGAGTAATTCAACCACATAGACTTTGCTGAGTATGCAGGCTGTACATAGTTTGGTTTCTTCCATGAAAAGTGCTTTCAGGGAATCCTGTCGATATTACCTGAAGTAGTAGAGCTCATTTTAGTATATGGTGAAGAGAGAAAATAATATTGAAATATGCAAATAATCACTAAATTAATCCCTCGCCAGTTCTATCAGTAGCTTCTTATCTTCGTCCAACCACAGCCATGAAGAAAAACAGTAAGAATTTGTTGCAGATGATCCCTTGGAATTATTTTTATCACCAACAAAGGCAAAAAGTTGGAAGGGAAAATAGTAGCTTTTGTTTATTAAAGAATTTTTAAGAGGATAAAAATCTAAGCTTTTTTTTTTTCTTTTTTGGCAATTCTCTTGATTTCTGTCTTTTTAAACCTACAGTTGTAGCAAGTGCATTAACAACTCCCATTACCTGCCAGATTTATTCTTAGGGGAAGTGTGTGTGTGTGTGTGTGTGTGTGTGTGTGTGTGTGTGTGTGTGTACAATTTTAAGGTCTTATTAGATTTTTTTTTCTTTTGACCTGAATTACTGCCTCTCTACTTCTACTACATCATTTTGCTTACTTTTTTTGATACGGCAGATCTTTTGGAATCCTAAGCTTTTGCCAGCTCTGGCTGAGAGCCTGTGTAAACCTTCATTACTAATATCCTTTGTGAATGAAATTGGGAAAATTACATATCCTTATGATAACTGCACCTCAAGAGGACACAGGTCAAGGAAAGGAAGCTAAAGTATCCAAAGGGTTTCATGGTTATAACCATAGAGTTTCTACCAGTCACATTTCTACCAGTCCGTTCAGAATAGGAAGGGGAGACCAGGGCCCAGGGGATGGGATGAGTAGAACATCTCAGCCTTCGAGGGGAAGAGTCTTTCCCCTTTTTACTCATCAAATACTGCTCTCATTTACTGGGAGCTACTACATTTTTTCTAAACAATGCCAGTATATTAGCCTAGAATGCCAAGTTATGGAGAGATACCTAAACCCTATTTATTATTGCATTTATTATTTTAAGGTCTCCCCTTTATTCCTCATCCCTCCCCAAAAGGACAACATAGGTGTGGAATTCATAAAGCTATCAAGAGAATTGTAAAGTGCATCTATAGGAGCACGTGAAACAAAGCCACAGCTGTATCTCAGAATATCTACTGTCTCCACACATGTCATCAAAAGGCAGGATTAGTCCTTTTAAACTTGTGGCTTGATCATGTGAACATAGTCCATAAGCATGAACCCCTGTTTATGGTAGTTTGCTATCTTTGACCTTGAATTTCCCGTATCTGCTTGCCAAAAGCTATGTCACCAGTCATAAATAATGACTGCAGAAAGCAGAAGCCCAACCTGATAGATTTCCCTTTGTTTAATGTTTTTACAAATCTAAAAAGGAACATGACCCTAATCGTTTTAAGAATAAAAACTTTCTTCTTTATCTTCCTTATCATGGACGTCAGGAAATACTGTGGGCAGTCTCCAAAAGAATTGTCTGAAGCTCCAGATTACATCTGTCTGAGCTGGAGAAGAGGGACCATGTGGCAAATGTATGACCATGTCTGTGTAATCTTTCTATGCAGTCTAACCTCCGTAGTCTCTATGGATTAGTGTTTCTTATGCATCACTGTGCAATACCAGGAAAATAAAAGGTCAGTGCTAAGACTCAGAATAGGCATCAGAATTTAGCTTTTTCACTCATTTCCTAACTTCTGCCCATAAATGTATGTTTATTTTGCTAGAGAAGTTAGATTTTATAAAGAATCTGGCCCTCTAGCTAAACTGTACAATGTGTCTCTTTGCCGGCGGGGTGTTGGGGGGCGGCGTGGTCAGCAGTAATAGAGGAAACTTTTTTGATGATCCTCAGAAGTAGACCCTTGAATACAAGGAAGTTTTGAAAACTGTTTTTATAAATACTGTACCATACTTATTAAATTGGGGAAAGGGGGAAGCAGAAAGAAATGCACAGAGGCATGGATACATGGAACAGACTGACAGATTTCAGAGGGGCGGTGTGCGTGGGTGGGGACTGAATGAAAGTAGGTGAAGGGGTTAGTCAAAAAACTTATGCATAACGCATAGATAGAGAACAGTGTGGTGATAGCCAGAGGGAAAAGAGGGCTGGGGCTAGGTGGAGGCGGGCAAAGGAGGGGAGAGGGGGAAATGGGGACATCCATAATAGCGTCAAAATAGAAATAAAGTTCAGCTGCAGCTGGTGTGGCTCAGTGGGTTGAGTGCCAGCCTGTGAACTGAAAGATTGCAGGTTCAGTTCCCGATCAGGGCATGTGCCTAGCTTGTGGGCCAGGTCACCAGCTAAGGGCATGCAAAAGGCAACTGATGTTTCTTTCCCTCTCTTCCTCCCTCCCTTACTGAAAAGAAATAAATTTTTTTAAAAAATAGTATGCTTTCTCTCCACCCCTTAGTAATGCAGTGGTACATTACCCTGTTTATTTCCTTCACAGCACTAATCACACCATGAAATTGTTTTATTTACTTAATTGTTTCTCTGTCACATACCTTGTTTGTCATATTGACTTAAAATACTAGCACTTACCTCAGAGTTTGACACATAGTAGGAGCTTTGTAAATATTTATTGATTGAACAATGACTGGCACACTTAGGCTTATGAACAAGACTGCCTCCTTGGAATTTCTAATACACTCTTGCCTTCACCAACTGGAGTTGAGGGACGCCAAAAAGAGAATCCATCAACACCTCCCCTGTCTGCCCTCCTCAGCTTCTAACTTCCCACTCTCACTCCCCAGCTGCAGGAGTTTTTGCCCCTTGGTTTATGATCCCAGATAGACTTTTGCAGTAAAGCAGTGATGTGGTAGTAAAGATACAAGGCTGAATATGCTGTTGTCTAGACTTAATTTAATGTAGAATGGCCAATTTATAATTTGTTTTCAGTGTTTTTAACTCTAATGCCTGGCTAGGATTGAAATTATATCTAAATTCTGAGCACACTGCTTGCCTAGGGCAGCAGTAGACCTTTTCTTCAAATTTAAATTAGTGGAAAGCTGGTTGTCCTGTATGTGAAAATGTGTTCTTAATATCCTGATTGAACACAGGCCATCCAATTAGGTGAATTATCTTAAGTGCTTGCTTTTTATCTACTGACATTTAGGATTAGAAAGCCAAAGAGCAGTTAAATTTCATTAATGGCATCAATTTGTCAATTATTACAGAAATTGTCTGCTTCCTCCAACCCAAAGAAACTACTTTTGTTCTCCTTATCTCATTTACATTTGAAGACACATTGAACATACCTATTAAAGGAACAATTCTGCAAAATAAGGGTTAGATTTCTGAAACTCAAAGTGCAAATCCCTTCTGCCACAGTCTCCAAAGATCATCCTTATGAACACAGTAACTTTTCTCTCCCTATCTAGATTATAAAAAATAATTCTGAGTAAAGATGCTAGGAGAGCATTCATTCACAGGGTGACATCCCGCATAGACCTAAGTATTTATCAATAATCAAGATTTTAATATCCTTAAGTTATTGTATATAATCCTTATCTTAGGATCTTCTGCTGACCCTCAACGTTAACTGGAAAGATGGACCATTCCCACCATATGGTGATGAACCCTATGGACAACAACAGTACTGGTCACCACCACCCAGACACTCCAGCGTCCCACTCGCATGGAGGGGGAGGCAGCAACGCGATGATGATGGTGAGTGCCGTGGGACAGAGGCCCAGGCCCTTTCGCACACACGTGGGTTATAGAAATAATTGAATTTTAGGACTAGAGAGTTGTGGTTTACGGGCCAATTTACCTTTAAAAAAAACTAAGGGATCCGGATAAGTGATTTGCTCAAGATTACATAGCAGGTTCACTACAGAGCCATACCAGAAACAGCACTTCCAGGGTCCTTCTGCATTTCTCCTTTCTTTCAAAATAGACCCTTTTCTGAATTAAGTCCTGTTCTTTGTGCTTTGAATAGAAAAGGGAAAAAGATCAAAGTTGATGGTGGTGACAAGGAGAGGACTTGGCGAGAGTGCCTGTGGTAGCGATGTTACAGAACCCCGCCAAGGAGGATGACTCTGTGCAAGGGTTTGGTGAAAAGGGAAGGGGTTGTTTACTTAATGGTTATACAGATTTAGAATAATAGCAGATTTCTGCCATTAGGTCCTACTCCCTTTAAAACACTCAAAAACACATATTCCTGCCTGTCTTTGCCGAAACAGGCCCATTTCAGAATTCACCAGTCAGAGGTACCATCTTTCAGAAAAGCCGAAGTCTGCATTCCCGGTCACAGTTCAGTTCAGCTCCATCAGCTCTGCCTCCATCTTGTCCAGGAGGCTTCCCAGCGGGACTCCTCTTCCTTACTCCAGACCTCATGGCATTCTCTTACACACCAGACCTGGTCTGTGCCTCTGTTTTAGCCCACCTTCATTTAAATGCTTGGCCTAGAACTTCCTGTGACCTCATTTCCAGCCCTTCCTATGTGTTAGCATCTGCCATTTTTGCCAGTTCCCCAATATCTTTTATCTCCTTTCGGCTGCCATCTGTAGTCAGGGCAAGAGTTCCCCATGACACAGGGGCATCCGCGTCCTCTGGCTGTATCATGAGTCATATATGTTTGTAAAATCATGTATACCTTTCGCCCTGGATGGTAATCCACTTCCCTTCAGAAAAGACACCACTATTAACTTGTCATTATGCAAAGTATCTTTTGCTGTGTATAAAGCGCGCTTTTTTGCCCAAATTTTTGGGGGAAAAATAAGGATGCACATTATGCATGGGTAGTACTGATTCCATATCCAGACAAATGTTTTAGATTCTTTTATTTATGCTTATGCATTAAAAGTGTAACTCTAGAAAGCAATAACGATATCCATATGGAAAAATTATAACCCAAAATATGATAATCGGTCTTGTTTTTAAATATGAAGAAATAAAAAATTGAACTAAAAAATTTAAATGAAAGATTTTTTTTCCTGAAAGATTTTTTTTCCTGAAAGTTTGGGCCAAAAACATGGGTGCACATTATACATGGCAAATATCTACTTCCCCCAATCAAGGATTGTGGGGGTTTTCACCTCTTTTCAGGGGACCCCCTCTCTGCACCCTGTTACAGTAATGCTAAAATGAGGGGAAACCTCCCACCACAGTGAATACCTCTTATTATCCAAATCTGCTACTTTAAGTGTTCTAAGTTTCTTTACTTGGAATTTTCATTTAGAATCTCCAGTCATCTTTAATTGACTTGTTTTTGTTTTCTAACAGCCAATGACCTTCTACTTTGGCTTTAAGAATGTGGCACTGTTGTTTTCTGGCTTGGTGATCAATACAGCTGGAGGTGAGTAAACCATCAGGTGGTGTTTGAAGGTGACAGTCACATGAGAAACAGTGGCAAAGAATCTGGAAATCCAGCATTTCTTTCTGTTGTAATTACTGAATCATTGTGGCTACGATCCACAACCATCTTGCTTCGTAGGTAAGGATACACAGTGCTTATTTTAGAGTGTCTTAAAAAATAATTTAGCTACAAGGAGTCTTTTGCAGTCCATTTCCTTTTGTCCTTTTTCCAGAGTGTTTCCTTGTTTGATAAATTATTGGTTGGGGACATAAGACTATAGTCAAGTTAAAATGACATAAGCATTTTATACATACATACCACAAAATAACTTCAGATTAAAAGCTATATTGCCCTGGCTGGAGTGGTTCAGTGGGTTGAGCGCTGAACAGCTGCCAGTTTCATTCCAGGTCAGGGCGCATGCCTGGATTGTGGGCCAGGTCCCTAGTTGGGGGTGTACAAGAGGCACCTGGTCAGTGTTTCTCTGTCTCCCTCTCTCTCTCTTTTTCCCTCCCTTCCCATATCTCTAAAAGTAAATAAATAAAATCTTTAATTAAAAATAAAAACTATTGACCTAGTACAGTGCTGCCATTTTACAGGTAAATTAAACTTCAAATAGTGAAGTGCTTAGCCCTAAATCACATGGAATTAGTATGTCAGAGCTGGGACAGGAACCCAGATCTTCTAGACCTGCTTAGCCCAATGTTCTTTTTCGTGTACGGAACCGTCTTACATCATTTCTGATTCTTGGCATGGCCCATCTTAGTGTCAGTCCTAGATTTTGGGTAACCAGTCACCCATTTCTTTGTGTCTATAATGTTGAGTTGGTGTGCCTTAATTTCAAATTGCACAAGCTGAATAATCAGTTGGACTGCTTTAGGTGCAGTTATATCTTTTTGATCCACAAAATCAATTTGTTCTGGGAAGAAGGGGAGTATTTAATTCAGGTAGTGTGTTAAATCAGAAGTTGGAATACATTCTTAGCATCACCAATGCTTCCCAGTGTGAAAGACTTAGAATTGAAATGCCTGTTCAAGAAATAGAGTCAGCACTTACAAGTAAGTTATTTTATTCCTCTTTTGCATAATGTATTCAGAAATTGAGAGTAGTACCTTTTCTGTGTTGTATTTCTAGCTTGGACAGCACACCAGCAAATGATTTTGCAATGTTTGACAGTACCACCATCTTTTCCTTCCCTACTTAGAAATGGCTGGAGCTTTTGTGGGAGTGTTTTTACTAGCATTGTTCTATGAAGGACTCAAGATAGCCCGAGAGAGCCTGCTGCGCAAGTCACAAGTCAGCATTCGGTACAATTCCATGCCTGTCCCAGGACCAAATGGAACCATTCTTATGGAGACACACAAAACTGTTGGGTAAGAAGATTGAACAGATCCAGACAGAAGTTCTGGGGAACTGTACTTAGCTAAGTAGCAAAGCAACTATTTTATTTGCAACAGCCCCCTTCTTGAGTTAGTGATTCTGTTTGACCTTCATTGACTGTCTTTGGAGGCTGTGGCTGTGGGTCATGAGCAGGCCAAAGGAGGAACGATAGGAACCCTTCTGCAAACATAAATGTTTGTTGCGAATTGTTAGTATTGATCACTTTGGAAGAAGGTAAGGAATCCATATTGTAAAATATTTGCCAAAATAATAAACAGGTTAAGAAAAGAAATTCAGGTCAGGGTATAGAAGAATGACAGAATCCAATTGATTCCTTTCTGTAACAAGTTGTACCTACCCAGCTCTAGTCTCAGTTTGCTTACAGTATAAGACTATACAAATGTATTCCATCAAAGAAGGTATTTGGATGACTATTGGTTTTTCCAAAGATTGACAAATGCATTTTAAGATTCAATCTTAAAAGAAATGTAGGTCTGAAATCTAATTGGAGTTCAGGCAGTCCTATAGACCAATATCCTGCTCTCAATTAGGCACAACATTATTTATTTGCATTGTAATGATGAGCTGATTGAGGCCCAAACAGGTTGTGACTGACCTAATGTGAGAGAACTAGTAAGTGATGGAGATGATTAGTAGCCAGATCTCCTGATCCTTTATTAAGTATTGGGTTGGCCAAAAAATTCATTTTGTTTTTTCCGTAGGATAGCTCTACAAGCTCTTAGTTGTTTTTAACTTCATTTGAAATAATTTTTTTAGATTGTATTGTGACAACTGTCATGTCAGCGTGCATTTTAAAAAACATCAAAATCTGTGGTTTTTTGTGTAGCCATTTTAATACTGAAATTGGAAGAAAATAATCATTTTTGGCATATTGTACTTTATTGTTTCAAAAAAGGTAAAAACACAACTGAAACACAAAAAAGGATTTGTGCAGTGTATGGAGATGGTGCTGTGACTGTTTGAATGTGTCAAAAGTGATTTGTGAAGTTTTGTGCTGGAGATTTCTTGGTGGATGATTCTCCATGGTTGGGTAGACCAGTTGAAGTTGATAGCAATCAAATTGAGACATTAATTGAGAACAATCAGCATTCTACTGTGCAGGAGATAGCTGACATACTCAAAATATCCAAATCAATAAAGTTATTAGTGAAAATGAAAAATGTGTCTTATTTTACAGGAAAAAAACCACATGAACTTTTTGGCCAACCCAATACTTTCTATTATACCATCCAGCCCTCAATTCTAGTTTCATTTTTTTTTTTTAGAATGTGACTTTGCAAAGTTGTAAGGCCTGAAAATGTTCAGGCAAATAAGTGTGGAAGGATTTAGGCTTCCCTGCCAGGATCCAAGGTGGAGGTAAATCAGGAGATTAAGCCTCTTTCCTCTCTCCAAATTCCAAAGGGGGTTCCTTCTCCTTCAACCATAACTAGCAAATGCTTATAAACCTGACCACCCTATTGTGTGTCATTTCCAGGGACCATTAAACAACATACACATAAACAAGTACCCATGAGCCACCAGTGTGGCAGTGAGGGAGTCCAGTTCAAGCTCTCATGACAACTGTTCCTCTCTTTCAATTTGCAGAGCTGCCTGAACACTCCCAGGGCTCTTTGATTGTTATTTTCCTATTTACTCTCCAGACAGCAGATGCTGAGCTTTCCTCATCTCCTGCAAACAGTGCTGCATATCATCCAGGTGGTCATCAGCTACTTCCTCATGCTCATCTTCATGACCTACAATGGGTACCTCTGTATTGCTGTAGCAGCAGGAGCCGGCACAGGATACTTTCTCTTCAGCTGGAAGAAGGCAGTGGTAGTGGACATCACAGAGCATTGCCATTAACATCAAACTCCACAGTGTGGCCTTACCGATTGCAGTGGGAAGCAGTTCAAGACTGGAAGATGTAATTCATACTCCAATCTTCCTTTCTTGCTCCTTATCTCATACATACACCTGCTCAACACAGGTTGCGCTTACAGTCTCTGAGCTAAAGGGGGAACCCCTGTGATTGTTCCTTTTCCTGCGCTGAGATTCCCATTTCTCTTGAGATGAAGCCACCCATGAGATGTCTTCTTCTCCACCGTTATCTTAGATCCCAGTTACGTGTTCTGGTCTAATCCAGGTAGCTTTCTATTCAATGACTTGATCACCTGCTTTCTTTTTTAGCCTTCTGTTTTTATTTTTAATAGACAATCTGTGAATTTGGTGGGGTTTTCCTGGGTCAGTGGTGGGAAGGATTAACTTCAGCTAGGATCCATGGCAGCTGAGGGAAATTCTTGCCCAACTAAACCCAGAACCCAAATTTAACATTAAAAAATAAGTTCCAGTCTTTGGATTCAATGAGTGGGAAATACATTGTGCCTTTCTCTAGGTGCGATGTGTTGCACTGAATATTTGTAGTGGGCAGAGGGTAGTTTGAGACTAAATACAGACCTGGAGCTTGTAGAAATGCACATTGTGGGTGGCTGACTTATTGACTGTGTTCCCGCTTAACATTTTGATTAGAATGAACTTGGCAATCAGAAAAAGATGACAGTCAATTGGAGGAAATAGAAATACATATTTTAAAATAAAGCCATTGACATTTTGCTGAATGTAGCAAAAGAGTTGGATCATTATCTCGCATTGTTGTGTTTATGTGTCTGCCTCTAAACCAGTGGTTTTCAAACTTTAGCATGCATGAGAATCACCTCAAGGACTTGTTAAAAACACTAATTGCTAGGCCTCAACCCAGAATCCCAAACTGGCATTTCTAACAAGTTCCTAGGTGATGCTTCTGCTGATGGTCAGGGGACCATACTTTGAGAACCTCTGCTTTAAACCTGGTGGGTTGAGCACAGGTATCTGAATTACTGATTGGTAGGTGGTATATCTGGGCTTCACTCACATACTAAATGCTGCTGGTCAATACTTAAACATTCCACAAACATTTACTCAGCTCCAACTGTGTGTACGTGTGTCCAAGCACACATGCACCAAGGGCTGTAGCCAAAGTAACTTATCAGCATGTATGAAATCACTGGTCCTTATTTTCAGAGATCTGTAGTTTCTTGGAAATTGCTTGAAGATTGAGAAAGACCTTTGATCTGTAGTGTAAATTAGCCAGTCATAGGCTAGGACAAAAGTCTAGTCCTGTCTCTGGAGAGGCTTAGAATGTGGTCAGCTAATGGCCAGATGTTCCTTAGCCCCTGACATCCATGCCCACACCAGGCAGATCCTCATCGTCTAGTGACCATCTGTTACTCTTTGGGGCTTTATTAGATCACAAGAGGCCAAAACCCCTTTTATTAATAGAGAATCACATTGGATTTTTATCTTTTCAGTTGTTAGTCTACACTGCAGCTTTGTTCCCAGTCCAAACTACCTCCATAAAGTGACTCTTCTCTGCTGGTCTGTTCAATCCTGCCCTCCTTGGTGCTAGACTCCAATTGTGCCTCAGGACAGAGGAGACAAAACACAGCTTTTGTGTTGGCCTCTGTTGTGGTTTTGAGGTTTGTACTTTATAGAAACAGTTAAACATTGGAGCAAGGAATGTGTACTTCCATGGCTTTGAACCAGGAGAGGGTTATGAGCCTACTGGATCGAGGTTAAAACCTAAGAATCAACGTTTAGAGTTTTGTGTTTTTCTCATTCCAACCTTTGTAGTGCTGTTACTTAGCATGAGAAGAGTGAATGACAGGTACTGATGGAATCCAACATTAAGGTGTAAATAGCCTGCTATTGCCTCAGAAGTCAAGGAGTAAATAAAACCTTGAGAAATGAAATATTGTTTAGTAATTACCCTGGTGCTCTCTAGAAATCTTGGCATGAGCTGCTATGAAATACCCTTGTAGCAATAGGACGTTATCATTAAAATAAAATAAAAAAATCAAGGCCAGTTTAGACAAAGTGCTATGAATTCAAAACTCCCAGAGAGAAACATCATTTTGGGATAGGTATGCAAGATAGTGTCTTCTGTAAAACCTGAATTCCAGCAATTCTTAGATTAGGTTGCCAAAGCAAGAAGCTAGTGAAGGAGAGAGGGGGAAAAAAAGTCCTTTCTTGAGCTTTTGGATTGTGATAATATAATGATCTTCTTGACTTTCATTTCCGTATCTGTTCATTTGAAATTTAGTGTCTGACTTCTTTGTTCCTTTTAGACCCAAATTTCTCTTCCTCCTTCCCTGTTCAAAACGAAGCCTGTATCCCCACTTCTTTGGCTCCTAGTTTGCTCTCCATTTCCCTTTTTTGTCTTTCATAGCTAAAAGATAACGTCTTTATCCCATATATCTTGTTTATTAAATCTCCATAGCCCTCCTGATGCAGTGGACCTTACTATGCAGTGGATATAGATACCAACCACAAGTTGTAAAACTGGGTAGAGACCTTAAGCACATTCCAGGGAGCAGTCGTCCCACTGGAATTTCTGTAAGGTTGGGTAAAGGGCTCCCTGGTGTTATCTGCAATTATGGAATCTTAGTTGCTCTCCCTGGCCTATGCTGGAGAAACACTTAGCCCTGCAGTACTCTCAAACAGGGAATCCTCCATGTCTACCAAGGGGTTAGAGATTAAGGTTTCTTAAATACTTCTATGGTAGGGTTCTCTGGAATTCCCTTTCAGGCTGTAGGGCAATAGTCTTGAGTTCTAGCCACAGCGGGTTAGGAGCTGGGAGGAGACAGGGCAGGGGGTATACTTACATGCCATTTTATTTTGATCCTGCCCTCTCTAGCTGCTTCTTTCAGAAGATATATCTAAAGATACAAATTCTGCATTTGGTATAATGCCTTAATCACAGGGTCTACAATTAATGTTGACTGTTTTAGATTGTAAGCTCCTGGAGAGCAGTATTGCAGTAGTAGGAATGTTTTAACAGTGTCATGTACAAAAGAACAAAATAAATATTTTGATTTTGTGATTCTATGCATGTCTTTTTACACAGAGTTATATCAGAGTAAGTGGTCTCTTCATTGTGCACATGGAGTCCTGGCCATTACCATCAGTTTTTAAGATGTTAGTCTTTAGGTGGCATGGTCCCTTTTTTACTATCATGTACCTGCTCTACTTAAAATGACAAGCTAATACATGATAGAGCTACATGAACTTTTGCACAGGAGATAGGGTCTTTGTGAGGCTGCGAATACCTCAGTATGCCAGGGACTCTGAATTTAGAAGCTGATTTTTTGGCCCTGGCTGGTGTGATTCATTGGGCTGAGCAATGGCCTGTGAACCGAAAGGTCATTGGTTCAGTTCCCTGTCGGGGCATGTGCTTGTGCTGCAGGCCAGGTCCCCAGTTGGGGGTGTCCTTCTCCCTCTCTTCTCCCTCCCTCTAAAAAATAAATTGAAAATCTTAAGAAAATAAATAAAGGGATCATGACATGTTGTATCATGATCCCTAAATTTATGCTGTCAGGCAAGAGGCCCTAAGTTGAGCCTACAGGAGCTTCACTACTGAGCCTTGAGATGCACATTGGCCCCGCCCTGTCCCTTTGGTAATGCCAGAATGCTGGTGTCATTTGTCCTTCCTACTGGCTCCCCAGTGGCCATCTTTCCATTCAGCACCACTTCCCGTCTCTTCCATAGTATGGAATGGGATGAGCATGGACTTCGGAGTCAAACGTACCTGGGTTTGGGTCCTGGCTCCACCACTTAACTAGAAATGGGACCTTCAGCAAGTTATTTTAATAATCCCTAAACTTTAGTTTTCTCGATTATAAAAATTAGGCAATACTAGTACCTATTTGAATTAGGGGCAATATGTATAAAGTCCCAACGCATAATAGGAGTCCAGGCCATAGTATTTATATTTTTATTATTTCTGTTTATTTCCTGTCTCCTCCCACCACAACATAATCTTCATAAGGGCAAGGATCTTATTTTTGGTCTACTTTGTTCACTGATCCATTAATAATTCCTAGAAAATGCTTGGAACCTTGGAGGAGCTCAATAAATATTTGTTATTGTTACATAAGCTTTGAATTGAACTAGATAGAATGAATACACAGCTCAGTAAGTATAGTACTTAATACAAAGATAAAACATTAACAGCAACAATGATAGTTACTTATCCAGTGCTTATGGGCCAGTCATGGTACTAAGCTCATTTCACCATTTCATTCAATTTCCACAATTATCCTTTCAGATGCATGTTTTATCTCCATCATATTGGCAAGACAGGCTCACAAAATTTATATCATTGGTTCCATATAATAGCAAGAAAGTGACTGCTGGAATTTCTGCTCAAGATTTTCACTCCATGATCAATGATTTTTTAACCTTTTAGTTAGATAATTTTTCCAAACATATACAAAAATAGAATCATGTTATGAACCCCTCTGCACCTACCACTCAGCTGCAACCAACACTGATAAATTCACAGCCAACCTAGTTCTCAGAGTTCATGGTCTTAACCTCCTGCTATAGGATCGAGTGAGTGGAATGGAATAGTTACTCCTTATGAGCAAAAGAGCAGAACTCTATACACGGGAGTGGTTAGGAAAGCCTTCATGGGTTCTGATTTGGTTAAACTCCCCCTCCCCACCATCTGATCACCCAGTTTCATGTGAAGTCCCAGGGAATGGAATATTCAATCCCTCCTCTGTTGCTGCACTCAGGATGTGTGAGGCCTGATCCAAAAGAAAACTTCCTGAGAACTCTGTTAAGTGTATGTGCTTAATTCGGGAATAAAGAATTTTACATTAAGGCTCATTACTGCCAAGGGATTTGGGGGGTCCAAAGGAACAAGTTCAGAATGGGAGATCAAGTTTACATAAAAATCGCCAAAATCTAATCTGCACAAGGGCAGTGACCTTTGTTGATTTTGTTCACCAATGTTACTAAGTACCTAGAATAGTACCTGGCCCATCATGGGCACTCAATAAATACTTGCTGAATAAATTAGTTAAAGTCAGTGACAAGGATGAACTGGAAGTGTTCTGTGCTTAGGGTCTTTTAATAAAGATGGGAGAATGTTGTCATGTCTGAAGCAATTAACTTTTCAAGTCTGGGGATTAACAGTGCTATTATACTCATTAAGGATGTCTCATACTTTTCCAAAAATATATTTATTTTTTAAAACAAAAACAAGTTTTATAAAGTCAAATTTTCCAGAGACAAACCAGAGTTTGGATTTCAGCTTAGAGTGAAAGTTAAGCATCAGTAATCTCATGCAGGAGTATTTCTTTCCGCAGGAGGTAAAACATTCTGCTTGACTACAAGCAGTCAATTCCCTAAATCTTGTTTGTACTTCTGCCATCATTTTATAACATTCCAGCCCTCTGACAAGCAAGGTAATCCACCTCTAAAATTCAAAACTTCCAAATTGAGATGAACGATTGCTGGGCTTGGCTTGGGGTTTATATCCAATTCGATCATTAATCATCTGTTCCCGGTTCTTGGGGTCACTGCTGAGCCCTATAGCACCTTCTCCATCACTGCCTCCTACAACATCCACGTCTTCTTTTTGTTTCTTACGGGTCTGAAAGTATAAAAGTTTTAGGATTAAGGCAACATTCTTTCCATTAGTAAATATTTATTTGGCACCACCATTTACATGGCATATGGTAAATCCTGAGTCATAAAAATTTAATCAAACTGACTTCAATAGCAAGTGAAGTATCAGTTTTCTTCTGGTTTCATTTTGGTAGGGCAAAACTATCCCTTCCACCTAAGCTGCTCTAAAACAGGTCAATCCCATTGAAGTTACTGCCTTTAGTAGAAAAACTAACTCAATAGTGACTCTGCAGAGTCAAAGTTCAGTATGCTAGCACTTTGAGACTCATTACAACTAAAGTTTAAACCATACTTAAAAGTTCATCCTTAAGAGGACATTATCAATATGAGCTTGTAAAAAGCCAAAAATTATGATGCTCAGAGAACACTAAAGTCCCTGGGATGAGCAAAAGGGAAAACAAATCCGAGCTATCTGTCCTAATAAGAAGTTTAGACAGGCTGGGAACTGAGCCCCCGGGACAGATCAGAGGGTGCAAGTCAGAGGAAGTATCTGGGAACAAACAGGTGGATGATCTGCATAACTATCACACCGTTATCTTCCCTAGCACAATTACAGTAATTCCTTAATACAATTAAAACTAGAAATGTCTGTGTTAAAAAAAGCATACACAATACATAGTGAAGCCATCATGTTCATGGATGGGTATAAGATGTCCTGTGCCAAAGAGTACAAAGTATCTATGAGGACAGCAAATGAAAATAGATTCGTATTGGGCACCTCCACTGGGCCTGGTATCACAGGGGACAGAGGCAGAGATGAATATACTCACTCCTGCCTTCAAGGAGAATTTGGCCCAGTGTGGGGGAATAGAAAAACAGACAATTACAACAGGGAGTGACAGTACCTATAACGGGGTCAACGCGGGAGGAAGAGGTTGAACTTAATCCAGCTGGAACAAGTAGTCAAGAAAGACTTCTGGAAGGAGCCGAGTCAAAAAGTGAGTAGTAGTTAGCTAGGCAACAACAGGCAAGAGGCACTTCAGGTAAAGGAAACAGTGTGCATAGGCACCGAGAGTCAAGTTAGAGATCACTAGGCAATGAAAGATAAAGTGGAGAGATGAGCAAGGGCCTTATAAGCCATCCTAAGGAATTTGGGCTTTATCCTGATGGCCACTGAAGTTTTTAAGTCTTATTAATGTACATCTAACAATGTGGGATAAGGCTACACTTAACAATACACATTGAGCTCCAACTATGTCCTAGATCCTGGGAACTCAACGGTGACAAAGGCAGACATGATTTCCATAGTCAAGATACCTAATGTAAATGGTTTTACAGTACACAAATCATTGTAAATTATGATAAATGCTACAAAATCAAAGAACAAAGTGCTCTGAGAGATCCTAATGAATATGGATAGGAAGGACACACCTAAGTTGACCGGGTCAGAAGAGGCCTCTCAGACTGAGGAAGTGACATTTAAACAGAGACACGAAGAAAAAGGGAAATAATGTGCAAAGGCCATGAGTGATAAGTAGTTTCGCACATTCAAGGAAATGAAAGAAAACCAGTGTGTCTGGCGTTCAGAGGGCAAGGCAACAAGTAGCAGAAGTAAAACCTGAGAGGGGCCAGAACGTACAAAATCCTGTAGGCCATAACAAATTGAGATTTTTATCTTTGGTGCAGCAAACACTGAAGAGTTTTCAACAGGGGAATGGCACGATCTGAACATTTTTAAAGATCCTTCTAGATACCTGATGAAGAACGGACTGACGAGACAAAAATGGAAGTAGAAAGCCACTTCGGATGCTACTGTAATTGCACAGAGAGAGATGATGGTTACTTGGACTAGGGTTGTTAAGAGTGGAGATGAAAAGGTATAGAGAGGTTCTAGAAATATTCTGGAGGTAGAATCAAAGGGTTTCCAGACAGACAGCATGTAAATGGTGAGGGGAAGGGAGACCTCAAGCGTGACTCCTAGGGCTGTGGCTTGAGCAAATGCATAGATACGGAAATGAGGGACCCTGAGGTGAAACTGGCTTAAGGAAGAAATTGATTTTTTATTTGTTTTGTTTGAACATGTTAAGGGTAGTGGGCTGAATAATGAAACCCAAAGCTATCAGGTCCTAATCCCAGGGATCTATAAATGCTGTCTTATACAGAGAAAGGATCTCTGCAGATGCAATTAAAAATTAAGGATCTTAAGCGGAGAGCATCATGCTGGATCATCTGAGAAGGCCCTAAATGCCATCACACGTGTCCCTGTAAGAGGGCAAAGGGAAATTTCACAGAAAGAAAGAAGGCAGTGTGATCAGAGGCAGAGGTCTGAATGATGCAGCCACAAGCCAAGCAATGCCAGTGACCACCAGACGCTGGAAGAGTTAGGAACCAATTCTCCCATGGAGCCTATGGAGGGAGTCTGGTCCTGCTGACACCATGATTTTTGGCCCAGTGAGATGGATTTCAGATTTCTGGCCTACAGAACTATGAGAGAATAAATTTCTGTTGTCTTAAACCACCAAGTTTGTGGTAGTTTGTTACAGTAGCCACAGGGAACTAATACATTAAATTGGAGATGCCTGTGAAACATTCAAATAAGCTGTTGATATAAGAGTCTGGAGTTCAAAAGTTAGAGTTATTGTTTCAAATATACCTAAGGGTTTAAAAATTGTACCCTTACCTCCAAGTCCTTCCGAATGCTCTCAAACTCCTCAATGTCATCAAGCTTCAGCTCCAGGCGGGTTGGTTTTCGTCGCAGCATTCTGAAATCAACACTAAGGGCCACACCCAGTGAACTATTAGCTATTAAAAATGGCGGAGAGGAAGAAAAACTGGAGGGGTTAAATCTCAGCTGCAAATACAAGATCAATTTGTAAGCATGCACACTAAACCGAATGCCAATGCAAAAGGCTCATATGGGTTCACACAAAGACTTCTAAGTCTTTAGATGTCTGAACATTATGTTTTCATTACATGATAGAGATCCACAACTCGATCATTCCAAAAAACTCTTTCTTCGTGAACTTAAAAGAGCAAGTTGCCTATAAAAGAGAATTCTAGGCAACAGTCACTTTAATCTCATGATCCAATCACATTCAAAGACATTTCCTAGCTAAGAGAATGTTAAAATATCCAATTTTAATTGAATAGTGTTAATGGGAGAGTATACAAGCCATTAAATTTGATCAACTCTACATGAGAACTGAAAGATTTCGGAGCACTCCTGAATACTAAAATCAGTTTGCTAAATCTCTTAAAAACACTAACTTACCAATTCACGGGGTTATCCTTAGGGTCTAAATCAGTTTGAAATAGATAGGTCATTCATTAAACAAACACTGCTTTGGGCTCCAGCTGCAGGGTTAAAAGGCACAGTCACAGTCTGTGGAGAAAACAAATATGTGAACAGAAAACTGCATCGTGTACCAAGAGCACTGATGAGGGTAGTGCAATGGCATCACTCGGGCCCAATCCACTCTGAGTTGAGCTGGGGGTGGACAGGGACAGGGAGGACTTCCTGGAGGAGATGATGTCTTAGTTGACTTGTGAAGGGCAGGCAGAAAAAGAAGATTAAGGGCATTCAAAGGCTGAGAAAACAAGGACGCAAAGGGGCTGTAGAGAACACTCCAGTCTAAAAACCCAATGTAATGCTTATGCTAACAAAAAACATTTCTTTAGAGGACAAAATAAAACTTCCCCGCTGAGTTTAAAATCTATTGATGGCATCATCTTTACATTCTCCACTGCATCCAGTAGAGTATCTATAATCATCAGGCAGTAAATGTTTTGTTGAATAAACCAGAGTTCCAAATAAAGTGAAATGAATTTTCCTTGGGCATTGCGCTATGCTTTTCCATTTTCATGCTTTACATTTTTTTAAACACAGAATCCCTGTGATGTTGTCAAAATTATCCTCATCTTACAAATGAAGTCAAAGCTGTTGTTTGGTTAGTAAATGCCAGCCTCTCATAAAAAATATACATAGGTTACAGTGAGGATTAAATTAGGCTGAGTGAGTGAAAGCTCCTTTATTTATAAATATAAATTATTATTACATGTTATCTAGGATGTAGCTAGGAACTGGCAAGTATACAAAAGAAGAAACGTTTCCTTCTCCCTTCCATGAAAATTGGGATACATACAGATGATATTATCAACTGAAAATACTAGCATATCACATTTCAAATTGCATTGTATTAAATCAGATACTGTCTTGATTCCAGTGTAGATAACTGGTGGAGGAGGCCAAAGCTCCGGGGAGAAATGCTGAAAATAAAAACACTGCTTTGCGCTATCCTCACTTTTCTACAAACTGTGAAAAGTTTGCCACTAAGGAGCAGTATAGAGTAACGGGTAAACGTGCTCGCTCTGGAGGGAAAAGGGCAGCGAGCAGTTCTAATACCATCCATTGCCTATCTTGAATAAATAGCTTCATCTTTCACTAGATCTTAATCGGCACTCTGAGGGAGAGGGGGGCAGGGGAAAATGGTGGTGGCAAAATGGAGACAAAAGTTTTGAACAATAAGAAAGTAAAATGTAAAAAAAAACTAAAAAAAATAAATCGGCACTCTGTTATTGCATGGGCTAAATGTCGTAATGAAGACTAAGTTCCTGGAATATAACTTATTCAGTAAACGCTCAGTAAGAAAGAGCCATCGTCATTGTAACTGTCCTTGTGGAACGGGACGGAAAACACTCCTGTCCAACTCGGAAAACATCAATATTTTGAGATTCACCCCCGACATGAGGGCAGAAACCTTATCTTTTTTCATCTCTGATGCGCCAGCACCCAGCGGGGCACAGGGCCATGCAGAGTTGTTTGCATGTACCTGATGCCTCACATCCATCATCTCACTTCGAGTTTGATACAAAGACCAGACCGAAACCAACAAAAGCAGGCCGTGGTTCCTCCGCCGGGTCTTTATTTAACTTCGGCGCTAGAGGGCTCTTCGAGCTAAATCTCTCACTGCTGCCCAAATTCACCCATCTCAAAAGAACCACCAGGGGAAGAACTTCCGGACAGCGGAGAGCAGTTCGCTGGCGGCATCTCCAGGACAGCCCTCACCCGGTCCAGGGCATGGGTTTCCATGGTAACATGGTTCCCAGCTCCAGGACGACGTAAGCAGTTTACAGGCCTCGGAAGGCCTCGATTTGCTTAGTTCAGCCCAGGGCCTCGCGACTCGACGCACCTACCTTTTCGCAAGGCTGCTCAGCTCCGTCCGGGAACCTCAGCGTCAACCTTGAATCGTCTGCTAAGCCAACCGGACTACACCTCCCAGGCTGCTCTGAGCCTTTCTCCTCGCAAAACTTCGACCTTAGCGCACATTTCTAGGAAGCGCTACGGGTCACAACTCTAGGCGTCCCCATAACCTTCCCTTCTTTTCTACTACGACTCCCATCGTGCTCCACGGCGCCCCAGACGAGGCGTCGCTTTCGGCCCACTTCCGGTTGGTGACGCAGTTCCGTTTTGCTGGGTGCGCGCGCTGGATTGTCTGAAACGTAGAGCTCGGCTGTCCCTGGGCTTTCGCGGCTCCCGAGCCCCGGATGGCTTCCTCACGAGCTTCTTCCACGGTACTGATCTCAGCTCACCCGAGCAGGGAATGCGGAAGGTTTGGGGGTCCCTGCGGAATAGGGCCATTAGGGGATGGTCCAAGGCAGTGGAGGGCTGAGGAGGAAGTCTGCGGGACTCGGTCTTGTCTCAGGGGAGCTTCATTTTTCTGATTACTAAGTGCTTTCATGGGCTTAAGTTCATTTGCACCTTTCGTGCAGCCGCGAACGGTAAATACCTCTTCCGACTGACCCATAAACGGAGCTCTGAAAGGGAGTAGTGTTATGGCCAAGATTTATGTTTATGTCAGCCCTCTTTATTGTTATAAGGCCTCCTAAGTTCATATGTACTGCCTGTCGTTTGAAAACGTTTGCAATGTATAAACCAGTACCTCTGTGACTCGTTCCCCGTTAACATCGAGTTGATTATTTCAATTATCCTTTATATTTTCCCTGTGATGAGCAATAACCCTGAAAGTTTCATAAAACCCAAGGAGAGATTGCACTCCAACTGAATGAATGAAACATGTTCCCAAGCAAACCCTTGACAGAAAAGTCACCAAGAGAAACTAAGTAATTTTATCAACCTCTTCCTTTCTGAAATACTGAACAGGTTCTCCTCACCACCAATCAGGGAAGACATCCTAACTGGTGTCCTCCTTGTTCTTTCCTTTGGGGAGGAAATACAGATGAAGCTCAAGATGAACTTTATCCTAGTAAATTGCTAAGATTAAGCCTTAGGTTCATCCAGGTCTTTGATTTAGCAGGCAACCAAAACTAAGGCACCCGATGACATGGTCGCTGCTGTTGTAAAGAAACCACATATCTATTATGGAAGTTTGGAAGAGAAGGAGAGGGAGCGTCTGGCCAAAGGAGAGTCTGGGATTTTGGGAAAAGAAGGACTTAAAGCAGGAATTGAAGCAGGAAATATTAACATAACCTCTGGTAAGATGCAAGTTGTGAGTCCATCTTTATCTTTGGTGCTCAAATTTTCTACAATGAATGCCTTCCTAAACTTAGATATCACTAGTTTTATAGTGCCGAGAAATTTCTCTTTTTAAACTTACATCTGTATATGGTCATACTGTGCCTACCCTGCTTAGCAACAGACAGACAGCCTTTTGCTTTAAACCTGTTTAACAATTTTTCTCTCATGAATTGTTATGGTTTTACCGGGACTTAATTCAGTTATGTACAGCTGACCCTTGAACAACATGGGTTTTAACTGCATGGGTCCACTTATATGCAGACTTTTTTCAATAAATATTGTAATTGTATTTTCCTTATGATTTTTTTAATAACATTTTTCTTCTCTCCCTGTATTGTAAGGATACAGTATTTACTATATATAACATACAAAGTATGTGTTAATTGACTGTTTATGTTTTGGGTAAGGCTTCCAGTCAACAGTAGGATGTTAGTAGTTAAGTTTTGGAGGGAGTCAAAAGTTTCAGGTGGATTTTTCACTCCTCAGGGAGCTGGCATCCCATTCCCCCTCACTCATGGGACAACTTGTATTTAGATGCAAATTGATTCCATTTATCTTCTAGAGACCTCGCACAGTTCTGGCATTGGTCTGGAACTGCTGTGGTTCATAATAATCTGTTTCTAGTTTTCTAATTATTTTTCTCCCAAAATGAAATGCGTTCTTTAAAATTATAAAAATATTAGTATTTTTATTTTGAAAGAAATCAATGTACAAATGTGTGAATTAGAAAACCTTTAATCTTTATTAATTGGGTTATATCTTTGAGTGAATTTAATAAACCTATAAGTGTATAATTTTTTTCCATAAATAAAGCCATGTATACATGTTTTTATAACCTGTATTTTTCACTCTATATTCTGTTGAGGATATCTTTCCATGTCAGCAACTAGTGGTCCACTATATTTTTAAAATAAAATTATACATTTGTAATAAGAAATTCAAACAGTATGTAAGAGTATAAAATGAAAAGACTTCTTGCCCTGGTGCGGTAGTTCAGTTGGTTAGAACGTTGTTCCGATATGCCAAGGTTGCAGGTTCGATCCTTGGTCAGGGCATGTACAAGAATCAACCAAGTGCATAAATAAGTGGAACAACAAATCAATGTTCTCTTTTTCTTTCCCTCTTTTTCTCCTCCTCCTTTTCTCCCGCCCCCCTTTCTCTTCATCAAATCAATAAATAAAAAAATGTTTTTAAATGAAAAGACGTCTCTGCAGAAAGGACTTCAGTCAAGTTTCTCATTGATCCTCCCATGCGTTTTTTTTCTTACACACATGCACTTCAGCGATTTCCTTAACCTATTATGCTGCTTTAAACGTAACTGCAGCACCACTGTACTTAGCATTTTCATCCAACTGCTTGTATTTGGTGTGGGTTTTTTAACTAGCTGTTAGATTTCTTGAAAAGCCTTATAATCAAGGAATATCATTTTCATGGTAATTATTTCCAATATACTAGTTTTATTTGTAAGTGTCCCGATACTGGGACTATTTTAGAGAATAGCTTTGGCAATTGTTAAAATAACCTTTCTATTATATCTGCTGGATAGAAGCCCTGGTTAACTCATTTACTAAACATGCTTCATACGCTTTACTTTCTAATCTCACCTAAGCTACGTGTTTGTATAAGGGTAAGGTTGCCAAATGAAACAAGATGGCTGGAATCATTTTGCTGCCTTCTAAAGCTGTGTCCTCGCCCTGACTGGTGTGGCCCAGTGGGTTGGTAGTCATCTCACAAACCAAAAGGTCACCAGCCCCAGTTCAATTCCAGGTCAAGGCACATGCCTGGGTTGTGAGCCAAGTTCCCGGTTGGGGGCATGTGAGAGGCAACCCATCACTTTTTCTCACATTGATGTTTCTCTGCCTTTCTTTCTCCCCTCCTTCCCTTCTCTCTAAAATAAATAAATAAATCTGTGTCATTTAGTTTTCTGTGTTTAGCATAAGTTAATAAACTGAGAAACAGTAAACTATATAAAGTGTGTAAGAGATTAGACCGTTAATTTCTGCAAAGGGCATACACATACTCCAATTATAAGAATTCGTTTCTTGTTCCTTCATTGATTTCTGTATCTGATGATTATGCTGATGTTTTCTGTTCTTTTTATAGGGGAAGTGTTTGAAATTGAAGAGCACATCAGTGAGCGACAGGCTGAAGTACTCGCCGAGTTTGAGAGAAGGAAGCGAGCCCGTCAAATCAACGTTTCCACAGACGACTCGGAGGTCAAGGCTTGCCTAAGAGCCTTGGGGGAGCCCATCACACTTTTTGGAGAAGGTCCTGCTGAAAGAAGAGAACGGTACCCTTTCTAAATATCTATTCTTTTCTTTTTTAATCACGGGGCTCTAGTTCCAAGTTTCAGTTGGTATTTATTGCAAAAACTTTATTAGAATGTCTCAGATATTGTTAACAGAATATCTTAAGTTGGTTTATATAGTTTAATCTATAATCTGAGTCTTAGGTCAATTTTTACTCCTGCTACTAACTTTTCTTTATGAACTGTGAACAGGGTGTTAACATGCTCCCCCTTTTCCTCTCCTCTTTCCTCCTCTCCCCAGGAATTTCGAGTTGGGTAAAACATTTGTAGTTGAACTTGGAAAATTTAAACAACAAAGGCTTTCCTTATCAACGACATAAAACAATACTAAGTGTTTTTGGATATTATTGAAAAGGAACACTATCCTCAGTTAATGCTCCTGTTGTGATTTTGAAGTTGCTAAGTCTCTTGGTGACAAGCTAGTCGTATGCAGTTATGAGGGCCTCATCTTTCTGTTCACTGTCCTATCTCTCCTCATCATCATCTTTTTTCTTAGTTTGCATTGTTTGTGTGTTTAATCACTTTAAAACCTCTAACATCTCATTCATTAAACATAACCAAAAGTGCTGGGCCTGTTTGAATTACAAAGGAAGAAAATCATTTTTCTTGTACTCCGTGCTTTAGCCATACTGAACTGTTGGTGATTCCAGGCTCAGCGTGCTTTTCTTACCTCCAGACCTTTACATTGTTGAACCTCTGCCTCCACAATCCTCTCCCACCCTTGGTCTATTGACCTGACTGAATGAGGACTCAGGTCAGGTCACGCCTTCCCTGATCCTCCAAACCCAGGTTAGGTGTTCCATTTATGTTCCCCTTTAGTATCCTATACTTACCCTGTGTTATTACTTAATATACATAATGCGCTACATGGTTCCCTGTTACTTTCTGCCCCCTCCCCAGCCCACCCCCAGGACTATGCTACTTGAAATCAAAAACCGTTTGTTAGTTATTGTTGTATACTTTGCACCTGAGTCAGTGTCCAGCATATGTGGCACTGAGCGAGGGTTGGCTGTTTTCACAAACCAAGTGATAACTGTGTTGGGGCAAGTTAACTCCAAATTGAGTGGCGTAATTACTTGTAGTTCAACTTACGGTACCTTAAAGAAGATTGAATGAATGAAATCACACTGGAAGTTTAGGCATGACATCTCGAATCTCAAAGAAGGTTGCGTGGCATTTAAATGGTGAGAGAGTAGGAGAAGCTTGCTCCCTTCTTAGATGTACTTTTCAAAATCTCTCAGCTCTGTTTAAATTTGTCTTTTTTGTTATAGGTTAAGAAATATCCTCTCAGTGGTCGGCACTGATGCCTTAAAAAAGACCAAGAAAGATGATGAGAAATCTAAGAAGTCCAAAGAAGAGGTAAAGTATGTTTACCTTCATAGTGTAGACATGAAGGAGATGAAGGAATCGTTTTCTCATCTTACGTTTGTCTCCAGTGGTTTGCTATGCTAGGATTGGGGGTAGGGAGTTGACAGCGCTACGGTTCAAGAATAGTCGTTGGCAGTAGTTTTGTGGTTCCTTTGTAGGTACAAATGGAGGTTCGTAAGTTTCAGGAAAGAGCTGGTAACATTCCTAGTGTAACGTCTAACGAGGAACCAGAATCCATCTAATAAGACCTCACAGAAAGAAGCACAGTGGAAAGCGCATATGCCTTATTTCATCCTGTTACTGAACTAGTTCACCTTTTTCCTGAGCAGTTAAAACAGAGAATTGACAGCTCTGAGTTTGGGGGCAGGAATGCTTCAGACCTAATATTTTTACTTTTAATTTAACTTTTAGTATCACCAAACCTGGTACCATGAAGGACCAAACAGCCTGAAGGTTGCTAGACTGTGGATTGCTAATTATTCACTGCCCAGGTAAGGCGAGCCTCTAGAAGGAGAGAGAAGCACATTTTTTTCTTGTTTCCTCCCTGGGACTGAGGATCTGCTTTATAATGACTGGTCATTAAATGAAATTGAGTGGCAGGATACTTGTGTAGACCCCTTGTCTAAGACCCATTTGCTTATGATTGTATTGTTGCTTGTGTGTCGTAGGGCAATGAAACGCTTGGAAGAGGCCCGTCTGCATAAAGAGATTCCTGAGACAACTAGGACCTCCCAGATGCAAGAGCTGCACAAATCTCTCCGGGTAAGATGCCCTCAGTAATTGCCCAATATCTTAAAGGTTCTTAAATATTTACTAGATTTTCTGTTTTGGGCCACCTCTAGGAGGCTAAAGGCAGCTATGAGTATTTCTGTCTGCTTACACTGTTGCTGTCTGGGAGGAGCCATCCGTTTAGGTGGCAGGGACCTGCTGTTGTTTGTACTCAGCAGGGACCTGTGGTTCTGCTCCTTAATTCCTCCTTCTAGTATATCAAAGTGGTCCTGAAGATATTTCCCCAGTTTTCTTCTTTATATTTAGCTGACACAGAAGCTAGTGATGCTAAGACTGTAGAAGACAGTGTACTGGGGTCTCAGATAAGCCTTGACTCCATTTACTCATAAATATAAATGTCCCCTAACCAAAAAAAAAAAAAAAAAAAAAGTTTAAAGGAATCTTGAGTTATAGTAAACCTCAAGTTGCTTTTTTATAGTGGAAAAGCCAACTCTTGGATTAGCCTCTCAATGATTACTGTTTTTGTTTTTGTTTTTTTTAAGTCTTTGAATAATTTCTGCAGTCAGATTGGGGATGATCGGCCTATCTCCTACTGTCACTTTAGTCCCAATTCCAAAATGCTGGCCACAGCTTGTTGGTAAGTTCCATTTTACAGTGACTTTTTAAATCCTAAATAGAGAACAGGTTTGGAGGTGGGGGGATTGGCCTATCTTGGATGTCTATTTCTATATCCTCTTCATCTGCGTCTCATGATCACACAGAACTAGAGATTCTACTGCCCTACCCGTTTATTATACAATAATAAAGCCTTTGTGAACAGTTCTGAGTGTTCACAAGGGACCCCAGAGATCATGATGTGGAACAATCTGTCATGTTCTTGACACTAGTATTTTGGAGCATGTCATAGAGTGAGCTAATAGACTACTGTCCACCCCAGTATAGCTCTTCTTTTTCAGTTATGTGACCTAGGCAAGATACTTAATCTCTATAAACTTGTCTTTTTATCTTGAAGTAGGATGAGATGATGTTCATAAAACGTTTTGCCTTGATAGTGCCTAGTATGTGGTAAGGGCTCAGTAAACGTGGATCATTATTTTTTTATCTTCATTTTTCACTTACCACGATATTAGCAGAAAACTCTTAGGGTGCGTTAATGATTGTTTTGTTCTATTTAGTTATTTTTGTGGGACATGGGCCACAAGATAGAGGGGAAACTTCCTCATATTGTATGCACAGGAACTAGAACTACTTGACTAGACAGGAGAAGGCCAAGGACCTGCACAAATATCTCCACCTCTCTGAGCCTCAGTTGCCTTCATTTTAAAAGAAGTTATCATTCCTATTTTACATACCTCACAGGTCCATTAATAAGGATCATTTGACATGGTAGATACAAAAGTTTTTCTGAAATACGAAATCTTTTTCAAATTTTTAAAATAAAGAAGTCTAAAAAATGTTAAGTACTTTGTACACAGCAAAATGTGTTCACATTTAAGGAAATAATGTTATTATTAAATAGTTTATTTTTTAATGTGTGTGTGTTTTTTTTTTAGATTTATTTACTTTTAGAGAGAGGGGAAGTGAGGGAGAAAGAGGGAGAGATACATCAATGGGTTGCCTTTTACACGCCCCTAACTGGGGACCCAGCCCGCAACCCAGGCATGCATCTTGACTGGGGCTTGAACCAGTGACCTTTTTCTTTTTTTTTTTTGGTTCTCAGGCTGGCGCTTAATACACTGAGCCACACCAGCCAGGCATGGATAGTTTAATTTGTCCTACCTTCCCTCACAAATTGATCCAAAAGTTAATGAGAATAGCAAATTGTGTGTCGTATTTATAGTCCAGGAGAGGCCTCTGGTTGCATGAGACCTGGATGTAACTTTGTCCTATAACACTTCAAATGATAGGCCTTTTCTTTTTCTTTTTCTGTCTGCCATTGTAAAGTTTATTGAGGGGGAGAAGAGATTGTCCTCTAGTAATGTTACCAAGGTGCCTTTTCTCCCCAGACCAACCCTGGCTGAGATGCTTTCCTTTGTATTTGATAGGAGTGGGCTTTGCAAGCTCTGGTCTGTTCCTGATTGCAACCTCCTTCATACTCTCCGAGGTAAGTTAGAATCTTGTTTAAATCTGTGTCTTTGTCACAGTGTGAACTCTGTTGAGCAGTTAAACTCTAAAACTCTGCCTGATACTCAGACCCAGTATATGCAAGATTAGTTCTTGATTTGTTTTGACTGGGTTTGGTTTCTTCTGACCTCAAGGCTGGAAGATAATGACTTCATGCACATATCAATTTTCTCTCGAGTCCAGCCCCGCTCTGGCATTTTGCAACCCCTAAATGTGTGTTTTGCCTTTTTTTTTGTTTTTTAAGAAAAAAGATTGATTTATTTTTAGAGAGAAGGGAAGGGAGGGAGAAAGAGAGGGAAACACCAATGTGTGAGAGAAACAGAGATTGGTTTGCACATCACATGTCCTCAACTAGGGGCCTGGCCCACAACCTGACTGGGAATTGAACCAGTGACCTTTCAGTTTGCAGGACAATACCCAACCCACTGAGCCACACCAATCAGGGCTGTTTTGCTTTTTGGTAATGCGATTTAAATAGTAGTTTAAATTAAAATAGTTTATTTTTTTTAAATAGTTGAATACATACTTTAATACACTATATCATGTGTTCCCTAATGTATACCTGTATTATTCATCATAGACTGTATTTGCATGTAAGTTATAAGGGGGCGGGAACCCTTTAACTTTCACGCCTTACACTCCTTCAGGCCATAACACAAACGTAGGAGCAATTGTATTCCACCCGAAATCCACTGTCTGCTTGGACCAAAAAGATGTCAATCTGGCCTCTTGTGCTGCTGATGGTTCTGTGAAACTTTGGAGCCTTGACAGGCGAGTATTACTGTTCTCCCCCCTCCTGCAATCACGAAAGTAAATAGTGGATTGGCTGGCCCTTGGGATCTACAAATGTGGCATTTAACCCCCGAAATATTCTTAAGAGTCAAGGAAACTTGTTATTAAAATAGAATAGAGGATTTTTTCTTAATAACACCTTTTCTCACCGGAGGAGTTGTGTCAGATTTTTTCTTATTTGTCAACTTTAGACCTTGATGTTTTGCCTCTGTGGCCACTTTTTTCTGGCTCCAGTTATTCTGGAAAGATCCATTTTACCTTCTGTGCAATAGATTGACGTTGAAGAAATGCACTATTTGGTAGACAGACTACACAGAATATCCTGGCAGCCGGTTAGTTCTTAGCAAACAGCCGACGGGGAGGGAAGGCGGGGCTCTGCCTGGTGGTGTTGCCAGGGAAGCCGTGTCTCCTCCCAGCAGCAGTGTCCCTTACCGCCACGGTGTTTTCCAATTATGGATACGACAGTTCTTGTTAAAAATCTGTTTATGCATATTGTTTTTCTAGAAAAGTTTGGAAGCACCTTGTTGGCTAAAGGACATCTGAATTCAATTGCTTAGTTTTGTTTCTCTGGAAAAGCACCTGAGGCTTTTGTTCCAGGCTCTGTAAAGAGCTCATTAGCGCCTCTACTTTTTACCAGACAGGGTCTTACCTGTGAGCACAGCAAGTTTTAATTGGCTCTGGTGATACTTGGTGATATTTGTTCCCTCAGGGCTTTGATTAGTTGTATGTATGCACATTGACAAAGTTCCCTTTTTAATTGCCCTCTTTAGGGTTCTTGTTTATGTGCTTACAGCGGTGTTTCAGATCGTCTTTCTGTGGTTACTGAGTAGTAGCAGATCTTTCTGTGGTTACTGGCTAGTAGAATTTAATGGCCACAAAAAAAGAAATGAAGACTTTATCTCTTTAGGAGTTCCACTTGCCATGTGGATCTTTGAACAAACTAAAGTTTGAGGAGATTTATCTGTAATCCACTTGCACCAAAACTGCTTGATTTTTGTAACCTCACATCTCTATTAAAGTATGTTTTCTTTCTAGAATTTCAACACTACTTTGGGTCAGAGAAACAATATTGCTACGTAGTGTAGCCATGAGAGTTTATTAACATAGTGAATTGAGGTAGAAAGGGTGTTTCTTGAAGTGCTATGGACAGTTTTGCCCTGTGGGTACATGAAGTCGTCCCACATCTTTTAAATCCTTGGAAAGCGACTTTAATTATTGTTAGCCCTAAATTGGTTTTAACAAGTTACAAGTTTATTTATAACTTGGCCTCTCAAATTATGCAGAATCGGTGCATCTGTGTACAGCAGTTAATAAAGTCAATGAATATTTATTTACATGAGTATAAAACAGTTGACCCACATATATTTGATTCCTTTTCAGTGATGAACCAGTGGCAGATATTGAAGGCCATACAGTACGTGTGGCCCGTGTAATGTGGCATCCATCAGGACGTTTCTTGGGTACCACCTGGTAAGCCTTTCTGTTGTTCTGTCTCCTTGACCCTTTACAGTAAACTGCCAAGTAAATTTTTAGAACAGAAGTCTTCAAGAGGGATTTTCCTGAACAGCAATGAATCAGAATCAGAATAGGATACCGAATTTTGTTGTGTATAGTGCGCTCCCATGTATAATGCACACCCACATTTTGGGCCCAAACTTTCAGGGAAAAAATCTTTCATTTTAATTTTTTAATTCAATTACGTATTTATTTATATTTAGAAACAAAACCAATTGTTGTATTCTAGAGTATTATTTTGCATATGGATATTGTTATTGCTTTATAAAGTAACATTTTTAATGCATAGGCATTAATAAAAGAATTAAAATATTTACATAGATATGGAATTAGGACTGCCCATGTATAATGCGCATCTTTATTTTTCCCTCAAGAATTAGGACAAAAAATTGTGCGTTATACACGGCAAAATACTGTATATTAGGTAGGGCTAAGTGTATTTGCTCTTACATTGCTGTTAATGTGAAATTTAAAGTCACTATTTGTCAAAAAAACTAGATTTTTCACTCTATATTCTCTTAACTAATACTAGAAGTGTGTGTGTGTTTTTACTTTTTTTTTCCTACACATTGTATTATAATCTCTCTGCTTACAAATTGGTCTCCCTTTCTGGTCCTCTAAGTTTAATGAGGCCAGAATCTGTTAAAGAACTTTTAAATTGAGAGGTCATTTACATGCAGTGGGTATGGATTTATTTTAAGTGCACAATTTAATGAGTCTTGACGAACGCATATGCTCATGTGACTCACATCCCTGTCAGAGATCACCCCACAAAGTTTCCTCATGCCCCTTCCCAGTAACTCCCCCTTCCAAAATATTTGTCGTATGCCTTTTGACCCTTTGTATATTCCCTTGTGTAGTCTCCAGGTGCTTTACTCATTTTTTTTTAATGTTTGTCTTCCCCCGCCCCCCATCTTCCATGCACATAGACAATTCTATCACCATTTATCAGAGAGACTTTCCTTAACTTGTTGACATTGCTTGGCACCCTCATTGAAAATCATTTGACCATATATGTGTGGGTGTATTTCTGTTCCTTCTGTTCTATTCCTGATTCGTCTATGGTTGATTTTTGTATCCCCAGCATCCAATTTAGGGCCCAGTAAGTATATCAGTGCTCAATGAATGAAAGACCGTAACGGTGAAATTGGGGAGTAAAGAAGGCAACAGAATCTTTGCTGAGCCATTCTTAGGGGATTCCGTTCTTAAAATAGCCACTGAAGTAGGTTTATAGGAAGTCATGGTTTCCCATTTAGCACCCAAAACAGATATGCTTAACTATTGAGACATTGTTTATGCCAGAAAAGAATTTCTTGTTAATATGCTTATATGAATAGTTTCAGAAGCACAACTGAAGCTGCAAGTACTAATAATACCTTGCACATTGTAGAAACTGAATAAATACCTGCTGGTTAATTTTTAGTTTGGTTTTTTAGCTATGACCGCTCATGGCGTTTATGGGATTTGGAAGCTCAAGAGGAGATCCTGCATCAGGAAGGCCACAGCATGGGTGTGTATGACATTGCCTTCCATCAAGACGGCTCTTTGGCTGGCACTGGGTAAGGCTTCTTCCACATGGCCAGGGGCATCTCAGTAGTCTTACCTCTTCTGTATGCCTGCTTGCACAGAGTACTGGATTCAGAATGTTCATTTGTAAATTATGTTGTCAGGGGACTGGATGCATTTGGTCGCGTTTGGGACCTGCGCACAGGACGTTGTATCATGTTCCTAGAAGGGCACCTGAAGGAAATCTATGGAATAAGTTTCTCCCCCAATGGGTAAAATAAGATCATTGAATGAGGGGAGGAGAGGGTTTTTGGTCAGGAAGTACTCTGTTTCTAACTTCGATACTACCTCTGACCCACAGCTACCACATTGCGACTGGCAGTGGTGACAACACCTGTAAAGTGTGGGACCTTCGACAGCGGCGTTGCATCTATACCATCCCTGCCCATCATAACTTAGTGACTGGTGTCAAGTTTGAACGTAAGCTTTCCTCCTGTTTTGGGCCTAATCATGAAAAAGACAGCTTGCACTTTCTTGGAGTGCAGGTGGGCTTTAGCTTCACTTGGAGGTGGAGCAGGAGAGAATTTTGACTCTGTTAAAGAAGCAAATTATAGTTTCCTTCCCTCTACCCTACTGTCAGACAGAACTATGGCCGAGCATGCTGCTTGTTGCTAGGAAGTAAAAAAGATTTCACGAATGCTTTGCTGCATCTTTTTCTCCACGGAAATCCTGAGCACTGAATCCTTAATATTCTTCTGAACAGGTTGTCAAAAGAGCCAAGAAAACTTACTATGTTATTTGTTTCCCTGAGTCTGATTGTAGTTGTCCCTTTTCCCTGGAGGCCTAGCAGGAACATAGATGAGAATATTGGGTTTTTCTGAATGTAGAAATGCCTTCTTTTTTGAAATGCTATGTTGTAGAAGATTTTTGTGCTTTTATTTTCTTGTGCTCTTTTGAATTCTTGACTTCCTCAAGCAACTCCTGTTTTGTTTTGTTTTCTCTTGTAGCTATCCATGGGAATTTCTTGCTCACTGGTGCCTATGATAACACAGCCAAGATCTGGACCCACCCAGGCTGGTCCCCACTGAAGACTCTGGCTGGCCATGAAGGCAAAGTGATGGGCCTAGACATTTCTTCTGATGGGCAGCTTATAGCCACTTGCTCATATGACAGGACCTTCAAGCTCTGGATGGCTGAATAGGCAGGAGCGTAGAAAAAGGACTCAAATCTCAGGCTCTCCCTTAGGAGCCACTTTTAAAAGAAAGAATTGATGTGTTTTGTTTTATCATGTTTGTTGTCAATGGCCATGTATTGACCCTCAGTAGATTGGATTCCCGTGCCATCCCCGACGGCAGGCAGGCAGCCAGTTCCTGGATGTTGGTGAACCCCTTTCATGGTTGAATTTTAATTTCATCTTCACACCCTGCCAATAACTATGTAGACAGTCGTTTTTATTAATCTTTTGTTTGAATGCCCAGTTGCCCTCCTCACATGACTCAGGATTGTGGCTGGCTCCATTTTTATTTCTTGAAACCTGGCTCTCCATTATGCGGTACATGCTTCGGACTACAGGTGACCCAGAGAGCTAGGTGGCTGGACTGAAGTGGGGAAGCGCCCGGGTAAAGCGGCACATCTCACCACGCACTGGTTAAAGCCTGACAGAGCGAGAGCCTTCCCTCTACCTTGAGAGTGGGAAGTGCAGAGGTAGACCCACAGCTATGCTCAGGGCTATGCAGTAAAGAAGATTTTAACTCTCCCAGTTGGCTTCACTTGGAATGCTACATGCATCTGGGAGCATCAGGAAGCGCAGAACTGAACATTTGCCTTGTCGGAAAATGTCTTTTTTTTTTTTTTTAAGTTTGATATCCTTTGTATTACCCCAAAACTAGGCCATTGTGTCAAGATTCAATGAAATTTTTAGAAAGCTAACATGATGTCTTTCTTGTGTAACCTCCTTTCTATTTGTTATTTAAAGGATATACCCTTCATGTCAAGGAAACTGGGGGGAAAAAAAAACGCTAAAAGTTATTCCTAAACATAAACTTGGCCCTTTTTTCTTCAATTTTTTTTATTATATACTTGCTACAGAGTAAAATCCTATTATAAAAACTGTCCTTCAAAGAATTATTTTCCATAGTCAAGTCTTTTCTGAATCTCAGCCTTTGGTTCATTGAGGTCCCTGTTTTTTTGGTTTGGGATATAACACAGGATCTCAAATATGATTACTCCAATTTCTGTCTCCTTAATAAGCACTCTGTTAATAATTAAAAAATAGAGGGCTACTGCATTGTGGGTCAGACGACCAGTGAGCTATATCTGGACTCGATAATTCTTATGCGTTGGCCATCCAGCAGTTACCTTCACCTTTTTCTGCCCCAAAGATAAAACCACTGACCTCTGAAAGTACATGGTGAATTCATACAGCAACAGAATTTGGAAGAAGGCAGGATTGTATACAGAGAATTCAAGGAGGGCTTATGTGATGGCTTCCTGAAGTGTTAAACATACTTTTTACTTGCTATTCCAGAGGGGCTGATAGTGGCTTATCTAAATTCTTCAAGCTGTGATTGTGACACGTAGCTGAATATTTTGTTTAATCTGATTTCAGTTACAACTAAAGTGTTGCATAGTCTCTGTATCTGTTAAGCTTCTAAATTCTCTGCTCTCCTTTGGACACTTCACAGTTGTTTAAGTATTCATGGACACTACTCCATAGTTGGCCATGAAAAGAAATTATTTTCATTACTACTTTTTTAGTATGTGTAAACTAATAATGAACATTAGCATTTTAGTGTGCAGATTGGATATAGTATATATAGTGTGTTAAGGTTTCTAGTTTTTCAAGTTTAAATTTTACTATTCCATTAACCTTGCCTTGGAGGGAGGTGGGTCTAAGAGTTAGAGGTAGCAACTGGGTGAAAACATTTGATCTCAGTCTTTGGCAAAACAAGTGGAATATATATTCCTTCCCTGGAAATACCATTGTAACAAAACAGTTAGCTGAGGAGCGTAAAACAAGTGTGGCATTTTATGCTAATAATGAAACAAGTATAGCCACCACTTAACAGGATACTTACTCTCCAGCTAGACATTGTGCCAGGCACATTTAGACGTCTCATTTAATCCTCTGAATCTTAGGAATTCTTTTTACAGACAAAATTGGAGCTCAAAGAAGTTAAGTGACTTGTTCCCAGATACCCAGTTAGTTGGTGGATCCTGGTCTGTCTGATGAAGAGATTTCATAGGGTTTTATTGGCTATGTCAGCAACACTGGCCAGACAAAATGATCAGTCCAGCCAGCGCGGCGGGTATTTTCAACCGCTCCCCCTTTTATACTACGCTTTTGACAAGTCCCTGCATCCCTTCCTCTGACTTCATGGCAAAGGGAGTCAACCCTTTCACCACTTCCACCTCATGAACCTCTGAGGAGCCTGTAGTGTTTTCAACAGAAAATGGTATTTTGAGATGATGTGGAACTGCCTGTAGCAGCATGGTAGCATGGCTCACCGCTGGAATACTAAAAGCCAGAAGCACAACCTGTCCACTTTACTGGTTTACCAAAGACATGCCCAAGACATTTCCAGATGCCCTGTAGGAGGATGGCACTGCCCCAAGGTTAGACCTACTGAATGTGAGAACAGGAAATGCTGTAATGTTTCCTTATCCAAATATATTGAAACCAGTGTCTTTCCTTATTTGGATGGGTATAAGCCACTTCAGGAGTATAAGTCCTATTTTGACTGCAGGTCTTCTACAACTTACTGGCTGGCTGACATTGGACAAGGTAGCTAAACTTGTGGAGACTCAGTTTCACCTATGAATGCAGATGAAGTTTACTTAACTCAGTGCAGAGGCAAGCGTTCTTCCTGAGCTCCCCCCGGCTCCTCCCCCTGCTCCTCGTGGCTCTGAGCACATGGCGAGCTCATTGCCTGCCTTACCCGCCACAAGGTTGAGGAGCAGGGATGTGTAAAGAGACGAAGTCAGTGGGGAGAGCATGCGTCTCAGCTTTGGTGTACCTTTGATGGCGCAAGAGGTAGTCACTTTTCACATCTTCAGACCGTTTGGTTTTTCTAAATGTGAAATGTATGTCTTGGCTCTTTTGGATTATCTTGTACATTAAGACCCCTAAGAATTTATAGAAGTTAATTCCATTAAACACAAAATATGTAGAGCAGATAAACCAACTCAATTTCAGACCTCTGAAAGCTTATCTTAACAAATCCAGAAAATTCAAAATATTAACATAACTGTAATGGTGTTTTAACCATAACCACTTCGATTGTTTTGTTAGAGTCCTGGGCCATCAGGTAATATTAAAACTGGGGAAGCAGACATCAGGGTTTTAGACACTGCAGAAATGGCAGCTTGTGGTCAAGCAGCAGCCCAAGCGTCCAAATCCTACCTAGTTTTCTTGGGTTCCTAGATTCTGTCACATAAAATGAAAACCAGGGCCCCTTGCCAGCCCTGCCTGGGAGGGGAACTAAGGTTTTCCATCTGTCCAGGGCGTCTGCCTTACCTCCTAGGTGGGAATGTCGGTGTTTGGTGGAGGGGGACCAGCTCCACCCTGCACCCCATGTTCTCATCAGGGTCTCTGCATCTATCAGGAGGAATAAAAACCTTTTCCTCCAAATCCCAGATTTCTTTTGATCCACTGACCCTGCCTGCTTTCACCTTTAAACTTTCAGACTCTTAACACCATAAGCCTCATACCCATGAGGTTGTACCAGAAGCAGCTGAGTGAGCACACCCTCCCTGCCAGGGGGGGCTCTCTGCACCACCCCTCCCCCGTAGTCCCACCCTTCTCTTCTCCTAGTTCTGACACAGTGCCTGCCAAGTAAGTGGTGGTTGAGTAAGTGAATAAATGAGTGAGAACAAACCGTTTTTACTGGGGCTGGTGGCAAGATAAAGAGAAAACCAAGAAGGAGACACCTTTGCTTACAGAACTAAAGCTCACTTTCCCAATTTCTTAGCAACACAGTAAAAACAACTCGATTAAAAAAAAGTGAACGAGTTCAAAGCAGCTCCAGGGAGAAATGCCGCTTCCTACTTGGACTCATCAGGTTTCTAGGGACAGCAGTTGTCCTGCCCTTTGGCACAACGTGCTACAGCTCTGTAGTCACATGTCTTCTTCTCTGCCCTTCCATTGACCTCCACGGTTCACACCCAGAGGTCTCCTCACATCTCTTCCCAGCCCTTAAGCTTTCAGAGCTTCTCATATAGTAGGACTCTGTTCCTCAAAGCAAACGCATAGTCTAACTGGTCCGTGGATTGTGAAAATACACAATACTACAAAGGAAGACAACCACACGTGAGGCGCTGCAGGCCCCATAACCAGCAGCAGCTGAGATGGGCTTGGTTCTTAGGGACAAATGCTCACCCCATACTCCACAGGAACTGCTTGGTCCAAAAGATGGAGAAGATGAGCAACAGAGTGACGCTGAGGATGACAGCCATCAGGTAGGCAAAGATCCGGAACTGAGGGTTGCGGAAATACTCCCTCAGAGAGTAGTGGCTGGAGAGGGGAACAGGCAGAGGCGTGGTGGGAGGGGTTGTGGCCTGGGGGGCCTCGGTCTGGCTCCCAGGCTCGGGGCCCAGGTCCAGTGTGTAGACCCGGGGCTGGCGCAGGAAGTAGCGGCACTTGGGCTGGTCCTTGAGACAGAGCTGATGGCCTTCCAGGATGATGTGGTAGGGCTCCAAGTGGAGCAGGGTGAGGATGGCAGTGTCTGTGGGCAAGTCAGTGACAGGCTGCCCGGAGGCCAGCACAGTGGGCTGGCGACAGAGTGGGCACAGCAACGGGCGCTGGGCAGGAGTCACCAGACTGAGGTGGGCCAGACATTCCACGCAGAAGGAATGGCAGCAGTCCAGCACTTTGGGGGTGTGGAATGTGTTGTTGAAGGGGTTCCAGCAGACGGGGCACTCGAGCTCCCGGCCCTGCTGCTCGGCCATCCTCAGACCAGATGCCAGGAGGCCTGGCAAGAGACGTCCTGGCAGGAAGAGAAAAGGAGCAAAGGGACACTCATTAAGCTCTGTCTCTGTGCTTGGTCCTACGCTAAGTGTTCCTTGGGTTATTAAAATGTATGATCAACCACATTTCACAGATGAAAACACTTAGATTCAAAAAGATGAAGTGATTTATTCCAGATCATCCAGTCCTAAGCCATAGATTTAAGGCTAGTGCTCCTTCTATTGGGGCAAAGGTGTGAGCCAGCCCATTGCGAATGAGCTGCCACTGGAGGAGACTGCATCCCAGCTTTGGAAATGGATAAAAATGCTCCTTATGCTCCAGGTGACTGCCCTTGGCTTCTCGGACCTCAGGGAGAAGGAGGGGAGCCACAGTCCGTGGTTTGTGCCAGAGGGCAGCTACCTCCTTCCCCGCGGCCTCAGATCCCTGACTAGCACAGAGATGGGCTCTACGAATTCCCTGGTCAGCCCCTCGTCTGGGAACGAATGCCAGGCCCTCTTTCCCGCCTTCCGCTGGGCTACAGGGCAGAGCCTCCAGAGCCCATCTGCCCAGTCTCTGTGCAGGCACTGTGTTGACCTGGCAAGGGAGCTCCTGGCAAGGCTTTTCCTCTTGACTGGAAGCTTGGAGGCTCCCCGCACAGGTCCCCAGTTCCCTTCCGAAGGCACCTCCCACTACTTGGCCTCCCCTGGCTCTTCCTCCCTCCCTTTGTCCTGGAAAACCTACCTGGGCTTCAGTTCGCACTAGAGGGGTCAGCAGACTACCCTGAAGGGCCTGAGGCTCCAGTCTCTTCCTCCCCTGAATCTCTGAAAAGCTTTGGGAGGGTGCCACCAACCCCGGGGCCCGTCTCCATGGCAGCGCACACGCAGCACCTGGAGCTGCCAGGTGGCCTGGGCTGCAACCTCTTGAGCACACCTGCTTGCAGCGAAGGCCAGAGAGCTGCCCAGGTGGTGGGGGGTGGGGGGTGGGGGACCAGAGTTCCCCCAGGGCTTGGCAGACAACCAACCCTGGAAGCCAAGTATGTGGGCAGTCCCTTCGAGGCCGAGGATCACTGGCTGGAAAGGTACGGTGGCAGTTTCCTTTTTCTGGAATGTGGAGAGTGTAAGTGAGCCTTCTAGGCTTCCTCTCTCCTGGGCCCTTATTCTTTTCTAAAATGGCCAAACCTCCTTCTCACACAAAGGGTCTGCCTGCCCTGCACTTCAGGTGTGGTGAAATTCACCTATTTGCCCAGTCTAAAATTATCCGACTCAGAGAGTCCTCTCCGGTCCCGTGTTGATCATTTCATGCACCCAAGAAGCTGCAACCGGAACACAGCCGGCCAGCCTGGCAGGCACTGAGTGCTGAGATCGTCCAGTCCAAGGGCTGTCCAAGGGCTGCCCAAGGGCTTGAAAGGGGGAGTCAGGAAGGAGGAGGCAGGGCTCCAGCGCTGCTTCCCCATTCCAGCCTGAAACGCTTAGCTTTTCTCATACTGGTTATTTGAGTAAGTCGAAGAACTGAGCAGCTGAGGGAGAAAAAAAAGTTTAAAATCCACTTCTCTGCCCCAGCCACACATGTTGCAAATGGAAGGTAAGAAGTGACTGTCACCCAAGGTCACTCAACTGGAACTTCCAATCCTCCCCCATGGGCCACTCATCCATTCAGTTACCTGCTGGATGTCTTTATTAACTAACCAGTGTTTGCATTTTTCAGAAGATGCCTCATGGCCATGAGTCTCTGGTAGTAGTGTAACGGGGCACCTCCAGGGCCCCCCTAAAGGGTATTTGTGACAGGGTCTGGAAAATGGGGTGTCCAAGAAATATATATTCTCCCCACCCCAAGGGCGGGCGCCATGGGGGGATGGGAGCCTTGAGCAAGGCCATTGAGAGTCATTTTGCATGTCAATAACAGGATAGCTTTATTCCACATATGCCAAAAGAGTTATTTTGCATATCACCAAAGCTAATCAGGAAGGTTTAAAAGACTTACTACAGAATGTAGTTGAGAGAGGGAAGAGGAGAGACAGGGGCCTCCGGGAGAGACAAGGGACACAGACTCTGAGGAACAGTGTGAAGGCCACGTGGGAAGAAAGAGGGGAGAGAGCACTCTTGCTCGTGGGCCATGAGAAGGTGCCACATGGTTATGGATTAAGAGCTGGAGATCGCGGTTACGCAGCGGATGGTGCTGAGACCCGCGAGAGGCCTGCCTAGCCCAGCCCCGGACTTCTGCTCTTTTTCTTCTGAAAGACGGTACCCCTGACTGGCCTGACTGGCCGAACAGGGCAAAGTGGGGGAAGGCAGGACGGTGTGTGTGCTGGTGATTGTTTTAAAGGGATTTTGAGGTTTAAGAGCAACATTTAGCCATTAATCAAAACTGTGTAACTTTTGAATAAATAGTTCCTTTCCTTTTCACCAAACTCTACCATTCAGAGCCATAATTCCAAGGGCAGCAGGCAAAAGGATCTACAACCGAGGGACCCTGGGGAAGGGGGGTGTCGTTTCAGTAATATAATAGCATCTGGGCACCCCTGCCCACGGGTCCATTTGTTCGGTAACAGTAGGCATCTGGGAACTGTACAGGGGGCTCCTGGGGGCAGTGACTCTCCCTGACAGGTCCTGAAAACCGATACGACATCATCTACCCTGACTGAGTTGATATGTGAAGCAAAACCTGCTTGTACTCTCTCTCATGGCTTCCCGGCTTTATCTAGACCTCTGCCATGGCTCCGCTCCGTACAGGGGAGACAACGCAAAGAGCGGCAGGAGGACGGAACAGCTCGGACCGAAGCCGGGGCGGCCTGCCAAGGATCCGCACGCGTGAACGCCCTCTGTGGACCGTTCATCCCTTCTACACGCAGTCACCGAGTCAGCGAGAGCTCACTAGGGGCCAGGCACTAGGCATCGGGTCAATAGTGCTGAACAAAACAGTCATGGTCTTTGACCTCATGACCTTTTGAATCTAGCAAGGGAAAGAGACATTTAATGAGTTATGGGCAATAAATACATATATAATTTTAATGAATGCTATAAAGGGCAAAAAGGCAAATCGGCTTGGGGGGAAGGGGATTGGTTACTGCTTCAGGTGAGATCACCAAAGACGGTTTCTCCAAAGAGGTGACACAAAAGCTGAGATGGAAAGATGAGAAGAGTCCACCTGTGCACAGGGGAGGAAGGACACTCCAGATCAAGGGAATAACGCGTGAGAAAAGGTCTGCCAAACTCAGGGAGTGACGTGAGGCCAGGGTGACTGAGGTGTAACGCGTGGAGCTGGGGTGAGCCAGTGGCTCAGGATGAAGTCAGAGGAGGAGGAGGAGGCAGGTCCTGAAAGCTGGTGGGGGTCGGGGGGTGACTTGATCCCGTTTCTGTTTTAAAAACCTCGTTCCTCTGCAGAGCAGGGAACACACTGAAAGGGAAAGAGTGGGAATGGAAGACCAGTTAGGGACCCCGGGAGCAGTCCAGGCTGGGATCCTGGTACTTGGTGAGGCTAGGCGATGGCAACGAAAATCCAGGGGAGGGAGCGAAAGGTAGCTTTGGAGATGGAATCCAAAGCACTGCCCAAGAAACATCGGACGGCATAGATTCTAGAACCTGTCAAGGCTCATGATCCCAGACCCACTGCTTATTAGGGCCATGATTCCAATGGAATCGATGACCTCTCTGTTCCTCATTTTCTTCTTCTGAAAAGGAAGCTAAAAGGAGGGTAAAGCTCTTAGGCAGAGGCTGGCAACGAGTAAAAACCATATATGAGGTCGTTGGTATTGTCATTGCAAATGGATTTGAGAGAGAAAGGGTCGAGGCCAACTTCGAGGCTATAAAACGTTTTTTGCACTGAGCTTTGAAGAGCCCCTAAATTTCAGAATGTGTCAGAAACAGACCTTTAGTACTTATCGAAAGCCTTAAAATGGCCCTGACTGGTGTGGCTCAGTTGGTTGGGTGTCATCCTGCAAATCAGAGATCACCAGTTCAATTCCAGGTCAGGGCACATGCCTGGGTTTTGGGCCAAGTCCAAGAAGCACCAATCGATGTTTCTCTCTCTCACTGATATTTCTCTCCCTCACTTTCTCCCTCCCTGCCCCTCTCTCTATAAAATCTTTTTTTTTTTTTTTTTAACAAAGCCTTAAAATGTACATAGCCTTGATTCAGCAATTCTCCTGCTGGGAATCTATGCCATGAAAATAATCAAGGAAGGACCTGTGTGAAGATTTGATTACAGAAATACCCATCAAAGCACTGCTCTGATTGTGAAGAACACTAGCTAATTATCTAATAGAGATAAATAAATTCTGCTCCATCCCTATAAAGAGACATTCTGTAGCTTTTAAAATGATATGATAGCCTTTGCTGGTGTGGTGCATTGAATACCAGCCTGCAAACTGAAAGGTTGCCGGTTTGATTCCTAGTCAGGGCACATGCCAGGGTTGTGGGCCAGCTCCCCAGTTGGGGGCATGTGGGAAGCAACCAATTGATGTTTCTCTCCCCTTCTTTCTCCCTTCCCTTCTCTCTAAAAGTAAATAAATAATATCTTTTTTTAAATGGTATGATAAAACATCCATTAATATGGAAATACATCGAGGTTATGTCATTAAGTGAAAAGAACCAGTGATAAAACCATGTTAGAATATAATCCAATTTTCCAATATATGTGTACAGTGGAAAAAGGCCTGGAATAACAAACACCAAAATGTCAACAATGGTTATCTCTGGGGGTAAGATTATAGGTGTTTGTTTTTAAATTATCTTACCTGAAAATTCTAACTCTACTACAGGAAACTGGTACTATTACACTTTTTTAAAAAAGATTTTACTTATTTTTAGAGAGAGGGGAGGGGAGGAAGAAAGAGAGGGAGAGAAACATCTCAATAAGTTACCTCTTGTACACATACTGACCAGGGGACCAAGCCTGAAACTTGGGCATGTGCCCTGACCGGGAATGGAACTAGCGACCTTTCACTTTGCGGAATGACACCCAACCATCTAAGCCACATCGATCAGGGCTGCATTACTAACTACTC